ATTTCATCTCAAACTCAGAAAGAAATAATTGAATACCGTAGTTTGCTTTAGGCACGATTAATGAATCATCGTGGACATGAGTGTTCGTTTTACGTGACTCGACCATAACTTCAAATAATAATAAAAATATACATATTGTAAATCGCGAGTGCATTTCACGTGACGCGATTCACAATGTGTACAAAACAATAAGTACGTGACATCGCAACTTATTTAGATAAATTCCATAAATATTAAAAGCGATTAAAAAGTAAAAATGCACAATAGGTCTTAAACATGTAATAAATCAGATAATAGGCCAAGTATTAATTGTTAAGCGACCGTGCTAAAACCACGAAACTCGAGAGTGTCTCACACCTTCTCCCGAGTTAACAGAATTCCTTACCCGATCTTCTGTATTCGCGGACCATAAATAGAGTCAATATTTCCTCGATTTGAGATTTTAAATAAACCGGTGACTTGGGACACCATAATAATTATTCCAAGCGGCGACTCTGATTAGATAAATAATCCAATTTTGATTATGTCACTTTAATTTAAAAAAAACTCCCCATTTCCCTATCCCTCGAGAAAAAGAAGGCGTGACAAAAAGCATTTCTGAATTTTCTTGGAAAGCTATTTTCAAGTTCATCCTTTTTTAAAGTTCATTCTGGAAGACACAAATATTGCCAGGTAACTAACGTAAGATAATTTATTTTCTTCCTCTCAAGCAAAATGCAAGTTTTATTTATTTAATCAATAAGAAATACTATATGAATTATGGGATTTTTACCTACCTATACTATAATAAAAATCTATTTATCACATTTATTTAAGTTCTTTATTAATTATTTTGTATATCTATATTTACTAGTTATATACAAAATCATAAAAAAAAAAAAAAATTCAAGATCCCTTAAATCTACTCTATCAGTTACATGACACCAATCCCCATTTTCAATAATCCTCCCTATATTTAAGATTCTTTCCTTTTCCAAAGGATTACAAAAACATCTTCTCTCTTTCATAACAATTACCCAAAATTGTTCTTACCCATGGTAAGAAATTTTACTTACCAACTGTTATCCAAAATTTTGCTCACCCAAAATCTCGCTTACCCTCTGTTATCCCCCCAAAATTGCAGATTCATTTCCTCTTCCAAAGCTTTTAAAATTCAATTTCTCTCTTTTTTACTAATCACCCAAAATCTCTATTTCTTATTGATACAATGCAGACGAAATTCAGGATATTGCTCTAGAATCAAGTTGTGGGTAAATTTTGAATCTTGTTTTTTTTCTTTATAAAATCTTTATTGTATTTGACTTGTATATGATACATCAATACCCAAAACTATACTCGATACAATACTAATACAATTATAATATGATTGTATTAAAATTTTAATATAGAGTTGTGATTGAAACTTGAAGAAGATGAAGATCATAATTGTTTCACAATTTTTCAGAAATGTATTATGATTGTATTATAATTGTATATGTATCATAATTATGCAGGAATTATATTGCAAATGTATGATAATATTATATTCATTGTACATTGTTACGAGCAGTTGTGAGTTCGTGATGAATTTCACAGTTTGTATCACAAATATGATAATTGTATATTAATTTATTAGTATTGTATCAGGTATTATTTTAGGTATTAATGTACTAGATACAATTATGATACATTTATCTTTTAGGCATTGATGTATCTGATACAATTCAAATACAATTATAAATACATTTATCATACAGTTTATGAATATTTTTTAATAATATAAAGCTGTCAGAAATGGTGGGAAGAAAGAAAATGGAGATTTTGGGCGTAAATTAAGGGATTTTAATGTAAAAAAGAGAGAGGGAATAGGAGAGGAAAAAAAAGGGATGTAATTGAATCCCTTAATTGAATGCACTAATAATGGGGTGAGAGCCTTTTAAGAAGAAATGTATACAATTTGTAAGAAAAACCTAGATATTTATTAAAAACTGCAAAACATAGAAAAAATATATAAATAAGTTTCTAATATAATATAGCTAGGTAAAAATCCCATGAATTATCTCAGGCAAATAAAAAAAGAATAAAAGTACTATTGCAAAAGTAAAATACAACTACATTTTAAACCATAAATATTAGTTGATTTCATAGTTGAGAAATATAATTAAACGACAACTTTATTTATTGTGAAATCAACTTTTAAAGGTATGACAATCTATCATCATTTTGCGTTGGAGTTTTCGGCTTTTATAATTGTATGATAATAAGATGGAGGGATATATAATAATAATAATAATAATAATAATAATAATAATAATAATAATAATAATAATAATAATAATAATAATAATAATAATAATAATAAATTATAGGTACTTAAAAGAAAATAATAAATGTATCAACAAAGAAAAATCGAATTAGGAGATGACCCGTAATTGGTCTGACTGTTGGACCCGACCCAACAGACCCGTATATTTCATGTAATAATGTTTATCTAAAATAGCATAATATATATATTTCCTAATGTCTAAATTACAAACCTAAATAATATTATTTGTGTTAAAAGTCAATATAACCGATACAACAAAAACTTATAATTACCTTAAATTTCTTATAAAGAAAATACAATTTATTTCTGTTAATTCCGATGCATACATTTTAGTAACAGTAAAGTACATTGTATTATTTATTATAATCGTAAATTATAATTCAATACTTAGTCCTGTCATTTGCATACTTAATTATAGATATTATGTTTACTCATAATTATTTATAGATATTTATAATAAAAAGTTGTAAACTTAGTGGCAGGTAAAAATATAGGTTTAGTTTACGATGCATACTAAACTTCTTTATTCTTAGACTTAAAATTAGAACTTAATTTTATTAATAAATTTCAAATGAACTTATATACTTTAAGTAGTAAAGGGGATTTTTTTTGCCTTTAATTATCTTTTAGATTTATTTGTTGTAAGGTGGATGAATACCCTTTGAAATATTCACACTAAAAAAGTACTATTTTATAATTCTATCACATTAGATTAAGAAATCCTAAACCTAAAAGATGATAATTATTCTTTTGAAAGTAAAGGCTAAAATTATAAAAATTTCAGAATAATAATAATAAGCAGGCTTTATGTCCTTGTTTGGTACTAATGCTTTAGGCTCTTTATTTGTATTTCTTATGTGCATCAAATGATGAATTCGTCATATGTATTTTTAGTCCTAAAATTTGTTTGGAGTATATGTTGTGAATTTGAGTTGGTCTTTTCAAAATCCAACTACGACCTTCAAAAGGGAAAAGGGGCAAGTAAACCAGTAATAAATAAATAATTTTTTAGAAAAAGTACAATCTGAATTATTTTTTAAAAAAAAGATTGAACAATTCCATTAGCTAGCAGTCAATTTTTAAATAGCACCAATTAGACCTTGAACGTGCATCCGCCTATACGAGTAGCCTCCAAATTTATGCTCTTTTTAATTTTCATAATTGAGACATTGATGCCTTACAACCTAAAATGATTTGGTCATATAGCCATCAGGTAAAAAGAATTTCCTAGTAGACATGATCTGTTGCAATAAAAATTAACATGCACCTCGTATTTATACCGAACCAATAAGATATATACTAGCATTTTTACCCATGAACTTTGATCACATAATGATGCATGGTTAATTAATATTTATTTTTATAGGTCACAAGTTCGAGCCGTGGAATCAATCACTGATGCTTGTATCAGGGTAGACTGTTCACATCACACTTTCTGGGATGCGTTCCTTCCCCGAACCCTACGCGAACACGGATAGTCTATGCACCGGGCTGCCTCGTTGAATTACTTAAATATAATAAGTACTTGATATGATTTACAATAAACACCTAATCCGGGTAAGTGTACGGTTTCGATGAACCACACTAGATAGTATAAGCTTCAATATATCACCGTACATATGCATTGCTTCTTGGTCAACAAATTGAATAGGTTAATTATCTGAATTATTTCCTCTTTCAGTGGGAGTGGGCATAAGCTTTGAACTTCCTAATAATAAAAAAAATAGTTGTCCTTTGAAGAGACATCTCAATTTGTATATCACATACAACGAGAATACTTTTCAGATTCTTTACATGAATGAAGTGTTGACAAACGTTTTACAATAATGCACCACACTGTAGCATGTTCTTGTGTTATACTAGACTTCATAAGGAGTCAATAACGTGCAATTGTACTCAATTCAATATACAAATCAAAATCAAGTCAGCTCTTACCGAGTCGAGACTAATTTATGATATGTAAAAAAAATGCAATTTGCAAAAACAACTTGAATCATGAAATGAAAGTAAGCGTATCCAGGGGTGTGGTTCAGCTATCAATAAATTAAAATGGGAGAAAATTATGAAAACTAAAGTTACAAAAAAATATTACTATATTATTATTTTTAATTTGCTGTGCAGCTGTGCTAGTGGTACAACCATATAGGTATCTAGTAAAATAGTCAACGAAGAATTAACTCAAACAATCGCTCACTTAATCTTTTAACTAAAAATAACTGGCGTGTAATGTGTTTGTGTGTGTGTATATATATATATATATATATATATATATATATATATATAACGGGATTGTTACACAAATATATAGCCGGTCAGATTTAATATTTACTTTTTCTAGCCAGTGTACATAGATTATACATAGTTATACTTATATTATACATGAATTATACATATATTATATGTCCGTTGGCTATTTTTAGTTTAAGAGTACAGGTGAATGACTATTTGGGTAGATTGGCCCGAACACCACCATTATAAAAAACGAATCATAAAATGAAAGTAAAAAAAGAAAACGAATAAAAGGACGTTGGGAGAAAAGGAAAATGGCCTCTTTGAGAAACCATCGTCATTGGCGCGTTTGGATTATAAAATATGACAATCATAGTCAAACTATTCTGTCCTCATTCAACAGTGTTACCTATAAATAGCAGAATCTTGAAAGAAAGAAGACATAAATTTTCAATACTAGCAAATATTTTAGCAGTTTATACAACCCAATTGTATAATTTGCTAATTAAAAATGGCAATGCTAAGAACATTATTGAGCTTGGCAGCCATAGCCATGGTGCTTAATTCAGCCATGGCCGCAAATCACACAGTGGGAGGTAATGGTGGATGGAGTCAGGGCGCTGATTATAAAACATGGGCTGCATCCGAAACTTTCTTAGTTGGTGATAATTTGAGTAAGCCATTCCCATTCCATAATTCACCCAATAAAACTTATGCCTCTTAGCACTATATTTTTTCTTTCTCATGCTAGGGTTTACATTGGTTTTTATGATTGTTTTAAGGTCGTTTGAATGACATTCCGTCTAAATCTAGTCTTTAAAAGTTCTTTCTTTTCATTTTGTGCCGGGGTTGCTTGCTTTTGGTCTACTTCCCCTTAGGGGGAGCTCGGGTTGTGTAGGGTTCTAGAGCGAAATCTACTTTATTATTTGATAAAAAGGTGCAAGATTGACACCAACTCTCACTTTTAGAGTCAAAATGTTAGTTGGTGTAAGTCTTATAGAACCCACCTTTCTTGGTATTGAGGAAGGGCTAATATCCCCGTCTTGATCCTCATTCATTTTTCGTTTTCATGAAGAGGGCAAGTCTTCGTCATCTTGAGGTTCCTGTCGTTGGTGGGAGGTAGGGGCAGAGCTAGAATATGGATTATGGATTCAACCGAACCAATAGTTTTTGTCCAGATCCTATATGTGTCTTACAAAATTTATTGATAATATACAAATTATTAACTTGAAACCTAATAATTTAAGTGGACTAAAATTTTGGACTTATAAATTTCATCTCTGGTGGGAGACCCTGTCATTCAAGGGATCAACCGTGCATGTTTTGTTAATTATTTTCAATGGGACTCAAAACCTCTAACCTATTGTTAATGTGGAAGTGAATTACAAAATTTACAAATAAGTCGAACCCCTCTCGTTCTCAAACTAACTAACATCTTCTATTTTTGTTTATCTTATTGACAGTATTTTCGTATGGTCTAAGCCACGATGTGCTTGAAGTTACAAAAGCTGATTATGATTCTTGCGCGACAACAAATGCAATATCAACAAATGGTGGTGGGATGACTGTCATTGCTCTATCTTCTCTAGGCAGAAGATACTTCATTTGTGGAACTGGTGGACATTGTGCCTCAGGAATGAAACTTGAAGTCAACACAATTGCCACAGCTTCTCCACCGCCTGCAGCCGCACCTCCGGTTCTGCCACCAGCATCGACACCTTCCACCACCGCAGTGATCAGTTCCCCTACTAAGTCCCCTGCTTCATCACCATCTCCCAAATCTTCAGCGCCGTCGCCAAAACTTGCACCTAAAATTTCCCCTGTTAGTAATCCATCATCCCCTACTGTTGACGCTCCTGCATTGCCTCCTTCTGGTGCTTCTGTTCCGACGCCATCTCTCCCGTCATCAGCTAATAAAATTGGCGTCATTGCTGGTTCTACTGTGGGATTTGGCTTCGTTGTTACGATGACGTTCATTCTTTAAGTGAAATCTATCATCCGAGATGTCCTCTTTTCTTTTTAATTGTTTCAATTCTATTTTGTATCATGATTTTACTCAATCTTGTGTATCACAAGAGATCTATTTAACATATTCAGTATATAGTGAGCATATAGATGTGCAATTCCTAGTGAGCATACTAGGAAATTCTTTTTATTCAAATATATATGGATTAGATAATATTTTAGCTAGAATCATGGGATTAAGAAAATTTGGAGAACAAATAAAGTAAATATTTATTAATCTAATCATAGTTAAGACCTTGCTTTGGTAATTAAATCTCAACCTTCAATTTTTAACTATGACATTTGGCTCTAATCCAAATAAGAACTTAGAGAAATGGAGAGACATGGAAATAGAGAGGAGTCTCATCCTAGAAATAGCATTAAAACCATATAATGTAAATGAGTAATTGGAAAGAAGAACTTTCAACCCATTGGTCTAATGTAATTTCTAGCATCACAAACCTATTTTTCTGTTGTTGTTTTTTTACTCAGTTAAGGTTGCAGTAAATTCCAATCGTGCAAGCAAAGGACCCATGCACGTAGATCTCTTGAGGAAGAAGAAAATTAAAAACTAGGGCTCATTCAACCTCACAAAAAAGAGCAATTTTTCCCCCACTTGCGTAAACTTGCCTCTGTATAACTTCTAAATACTCAATGTGCAATCTATTTCTTCACAGAAAGACATAATAATTGACTCAGAATCTAAACTTGATAGAGCAGAAGAATGCCTAAGTTTGGATTCAAAAAATTAATTACCTAACCAGTTGATTTGAGAAAAAAAAGTAAAAAACACTTCTTCTGCTATTACTTACCTTTTTGTGGCCTAAAATCGTGAAATGCGTCTTTCATAAATAAATAAACTGAGAAAAACAAGAATGGAGATGCGGGGTATCGATCCCCGTACCTCTCGCATGCTAAGCGAGCGCTCTACCATCTGAGCTACATCCCCTTTGATAAAATTCTTTCGTTTTAGCTTTATGGCTGTGCTAGAAATGGTCTTTTTATTTTTACCGTTCATCCGAGCTACCTCTTCATAACTTTATTATTTCTGATTTTAGTTTACATTAACCTCAATGAGTACGTTGCCAATAAGCATTGATCGATTCTTTGATGCACAGTTTTGTACTTCAACTCCTTAACATAAGATTTTTCCTTTTCTTGCTACGTACTTGAATACTTTTCAGTCATTAGATGCTTGAATTTGGCCTCATGCTAGTCGGAAATTAAAGTCTTTGAATATCAGGGCACTTAGTTGAGTGCATGTGTTGAAGCATTGATTAACTTCTTCGAATAATATCGATCTGCTTAAGTCGAATGCTTGTCTTTTGTTTGTGTAATTTGCAATTACTTCTCTTGGCAAAACTCAAAAAGTTTTCTTTTTATATTCAGTGAAGCATATTATTTTATTTACTAGCCATGCATTAACTATAGCATTGTTTGCAGCTTCAAGTACTAATGATTGGGTTTTACATTTCATATTTATACGTACTCAATAAATTTTTGATACAAAATATACTATTTGAGCAAAAGTTACTGGCCCAACTCTTTTGGGGTTGCAGCCCTCGAGAAGACAATTCTTTATAAAGTGAAAAATGGAGCTCTTCCTTGTCAATAAGAGACTCCATTTCTTCCAACAATATAGGCATTCCAAAATACTGTACTTCTTCAAATGATTTATTTTCGTGTGCTTTAATTAGTTGAAATATTTGAATTCATGGTAGAGTTGAAATTGCGGACGAATAAGATGTTTCACTATTCAACGTAGCTGGCCAAATTGTTAATTTCTTGAATACTTACAAGACTAACAAGTTTAAGATGACTTTCTAGGTTAGTTCCCGTTTGGACATAAAATTTGATGGAAGGCTTTTTCGAAAGTTTTCATATAAATATAAAAATGATATCGCTTGTCGTTATAGCGATTTATTTATTTGTTTACTTCTTCAAATATTGACACCGCTTACAAAATTCATGCGTACGCTACTGCACACATAGGTCATCTAATAACAAAAACAACAACAAACCTAGTGGTGGTCCACAAGTGAGATTTGGGAGGGTAGTGTGCACCCAGGGCTCAAGAAGATAAAAGAACAATGGAAACAAGCAATAACAATAACATAAAAGGTCCTGTAATAAGCTTCTCAAAAATAAATATGCAATTGTCGTCGGTTTAAAACAAATCATCAAAAACACTTCATCAACCTTGGAGTATCCATAAGTCATATCCCAGCCAAAACTAATTGTCATAACTATGATCTATAATCAGAAGTTACGCCAGATGACAGTTACTCTATCAGTATATCACCAACCTCTAAAAGATCAAACAAAGAAAGAGAGAAGTGAAAAATTGAAAACCTCGTAGAGTAAACTACAAGGTTACTTCATAGCAAGAAATTATGAGGAGAAAACAAGAGGAAGCAGGGATGGATCTAAAACTACTGATCTAGGTTTATTTGAATCCATAACTTTTAACCTAGACTTTGATTTTCGTGTGTCAAATCCACTGGAATTATATTGCTGAAAATACTGAACTGTGAACCCATAACATAAAAAGGTGATGCTTTTGGTAGTTAAAACAGAGTCTTGAACCATAGAAGTAAAATCCTGAGTTTGCCGCCGAGAGGAATAAGTGCATGGTATTGGACTATGCAAGAGTCATAGTAGATGTGGCGTAGTAGGCAACAGAAAAAATGGCATGTACGAAACACAAAATTCCACCAATTGAGAAAAAATGACGATGACCGAACCCACAGGAAGCTCTCGACCTGTTGTTTGCCATTGTCCCAATCACTAGCATTCCCATTCCTCCTGCCAGTATAATCCTAAAACCACAGAATTCGAACACATTAGCAAATGGTGAGGTATGTCACGCACTTAGAAAAAATGTGAAATAAAGACAATAAGTTCCCTCCTAAATGTTTTTGCTATTAGTTAGAGATTAATATGTTGACCCCACAGCAACTACGGCGGTGTTACATACTCCCTATATCATAATTTGGATATCGTTTTTTACTCTTTTTAAAATAAAATGTATACAATTAAAAGCAAGAAGACGTTAAAAGCAAGACAAAAGTAGTATAAATTACGACCGCGAAACTCTTTTCCTTCCTCGTCTACCTTTACATCCTCTTCTTCCTCCTCAAATTGTAAACTCGAAGAAGACGTTAGCTTTGCTGATTTGCAGCAATCAATTACTGTCTGGAAATCTTCAAGATGGGCTTTGACAAGTGACTATCACGTTTCAACCATAGAACAAACCATTCATCTTGAGTCAGATCATGAAGATACCAAGTAGAGTACGCGGAATTTTCGTAAGCGATATCAATTTTGAAGAAGTGAACAAATGAATAAATTACGGTAACGACAAACGATGTCATTTTTTGTATTTTACTGAATATTTAAATTTTATTTATTATTTATACATATAGATTACAAAAGAAAATTCTCCTCCTATGAAAATATCAAACTTTTAAATCCTAAATCTATAGAAAAGTATAGACGAAAATATAATTACCTCCATTTTCGTTCGGTACAAATTGCAGCTAAATCTCTTTCAAAAGAAGGTTTATACACATCTCTCCTCCTCTGCCTTAGAGACTCTAGATTTCTGGAATTCAACTATTCCCTCCTAAGAATGGTAGAAACCAGCTTTTGTAGTGGTCCAATTTACTTTGATTGCTTTGCCAATTTTACAGTATCCTTTAAACACGAATATAGTGTATTCCTTGACACTCAATGTCAAAACAACCAATTATAAAACCAGAACTGGATCTCTCCCAGTTGCTATCATTTATAGAATTCAGTATAAAGCTATAAATTCAGCCTTTAATTCTGGAGCCATGAAAACACTTCATAAACTGGTTATTGCAAGAAGCTACTCCAGCCCAACTTCATAACTTCTTTTGAGTGGTTTGAAGCTTATATTGAATATCACCAAATAGAATTTCTCTTTTCTGATTCTACTAACATTTCAAAGGTTTGGAAAACTTCCCCCGGAGAAGTCACCTCTGAATTTCCTCTGTCACATAGATTTTAAACAAATTATGGAAATAATTCATTAGTATCTAAACCTTTCAAATTAAAGGGTAGTCCGGTGCACATTGCGGGTCCGGAGAAGAGTCGGATCACAAGGGTCTATTGTATGAAGTCTTTCCTACATTTCTGTACGAGGCTGTTTTTACGGCTCGAACTCCTGATTACGTGACAACAACTTTACCAGTTACGTCAAGGCTCTCTTCGGCTAATCCTTTCAAATTAAAGATTGAAAATGAAGTTATACAGGCAAAGATATTAAAAACAATTTGAACAAAATAACTATACAAAGAAATATTTACAAACTCTTAGTGAATATTTGATAACAAAACCATCTTCACAGCATCCGCTAGTTCTAAGCCAGCAGAAACCTCCACTTCTCTAATCCCCTTATTTAGCCCTAATGAGATCCTTAGAACGTTCGCTACAGAACTTCAAATTCACCAGGCTAAAGAATTTTCTCAGGTTTCTAACCTTCAGTGTAGGATCCTAAAATATGAGAAAACTCTGATAGCTCAGGACACCCCAACTAAAGATAACACTTATTATGTATCTGTTCTCTGAGAAGTAGATACCGACCAACAAACCCATTCACAGTCCGAGCACTTTCATGACAATTCTCCCCTATTAGAACATGATCTTTCAACCTCAAAGACTCTATTATTCTAGATCTACCCATACTGATGGAGCCTTATAAGAAGGACCTAACTTTATGCAAAACAATTATAATGCCAAAAATATCTATGAGTGGAATACAGATGATTGTTCTTAATACAACATTCTGGCCAAATTACAGCAGATGACTATGGTAGCCACTGCATACCAGACTTCTCATAAATGTTCTGACCAGCTTACTACTCATGTCTTAGTAGTAGGTTTTACATGTCAGCTTAAAGGATGTGGGATACTCATCTTAGCGAGGAAGATAAGAACCAAATTCTCTGAAGTGTTCGAGTTGATTCAACGGAAGAAAAAAAATCCTTAATGGTTGGTCATACCATTCCCGATTCAACCAACACCCTAATTTATTCTATTATCAAAACATTCATAAGTAGTGCATCTATCTTTAGGGAAAGATCTTCTGAGATACTTAACAACCTAAAATGTAAAACCCTTTCTGATGTCAGATGATATAAAGATTCCTTTCTTACCCGAATCTATGAAAAAACATATGGAAACCTCCCATATTGGAAAGAAAAACTCCTCGATGGCCTACCTAAGTCTCTTAGAGATTTAGTTAAAAAGGAACTCCAAAATCTATACTGTTGATATTATTCCTTAGAAACAAATCACCTATGGCCAACTTACCAGTCTCATTCAACATTTGGCTCTCAAGTTCTGTCGACATAATAAGATATTGAGACAATTAACTTAAGATAGAACACAGACTCACCGAGATCTAGGTAGTTTCTGCGAACAATTTGGCTTACCTCCTTGTAGAATTTAGTCTTCACAAAAGATCTATATTTTGTAATCTCCTTAACTTTAGATGTTCGTCTCTTATGAGGCCTTTTACTACAAGGAGGTAAGCCCAAATTGTTCACAGAAACTACCTAGATCTCGGTAAGTCTGCGTTCTATCTTTAGCTAATTGTCTCAATATCTTATCATGTCGACATATTTTGAGAGCAAAATATTGAATGAAATTGGTAAGTTGGCCATAGGTGATTTGTTCGTAAGGAACAATATCACCAGTATACTGATTTTGGAGTTCCTCTTTAACTAAATCTCTAAGAGACTTAGGTAGGCCATCTAGGAAATTTTCTTTCCAATATGGGAGGTTTCTATCTGGTTTTTCATAGATTCGGATAAGAAAGGAATCTCTATCATCTAAAATCAAAAAGGGTTTTACACTTAAGATTGTTAAGTATCTCAGAAGATCTTTCCCTAAAGATACATGCACTACCTATGAATGTTTTGATAATAGTATAAATTAGGGTGTTGGTTCTCCCGATGTATAGCCATCCTTAAGGGTTGGTTCTCCCGTTGAATCAACTCGGACAGTTAAAAGAATTTAGTTCTTATCTTCCTCGCTAAGATGAGTATCCCACCATCCTTTAAGTTGACTTGTAAAACCTGCTACTAAAACATAGGTAGTAAGCTAGTCAAAACAGTTATGAGAAGTCCGATATGCAATGACTACCATAATCATCTGCTGTAACTTGGCCAGAATATTATATTTGGAAAAACCGTCTATGTTTCACTCATAGATGTTATTGGCATTATAATTATTTTGCATAATGTTTGGTCTTTCTTCTAAGGCTATATCAGAGTGGGTAGCTCTAGAATAATAGAGTCTTTGAGGTTGATGCCAGTTGAAAGATCCCGTTCTAATCGAAAACATTTCTAGGGAAGGATTGTCATGAAATTGCTCTAACAATGAATTGGTTTCTTGGCAATATCTACTTCTCGGAGAATCAGTATAATAGAATCGTTAGTTGGGGTGTTCTGAGCTATCAGGGTTTTCTCAATTTCTAGGATCCTACGTTGAAGGTCAGAAAGCCGAGGAGAGTCTTTAGCTTGGTGAATCCGAAGTTCTGTAGAGAAAGTTCTAGGGATCTCATAAGGTTTAAATAAGGGGATTGAAGAAATGGAGGTTTCTGCTGACTTAGAACTAGTAGATGCTGAAGGTGGTTTTGTAATCAAATATTCACCAAGAGATTGTAAATATTTATTTGTATAATTATTTTGTTCAAAAATATTTTTAATATCTTTGCCAGTAATAGCTTCATTTTCGATTTTTAATTTGAAAGGATTAGCTACTACTGAAGTATTTCTATAATTTGTTGAAAATTCTTGTGTCGGAGGAAGTTCAGAGGTGATCACTTCATTTCCCGTGGAAGTTTTCAAAACTTTTGAAACGTTAACCAACTTAGAAAAAGAAAATTCTAATTAGTGATATTCAAGATAAGATTCAAACCATTCAAAGTAATCAATTTGTTTTCAATGAAGTTTAAAGATTAGAGATCTTTTCTTTTGTCTCCTTTGAAAATTTTGGAAGAACCAAGTTCTTTTAAAAATATTTTCATCTGAATAAAAAAAAGTAAAATCAGTGATATATATATATATATATATATAAAAGTAAAATTTGTGATAGATTATTATTTAACTTTCTAAAATGTATAATAATCTCACTTTCTAAATTGTATAATAATCTCATATGGTAAATGAGAGAAATGGACCAATTGTTCTCTTCTTTTTTTCCGGTCACACCAAGAAGTGTCGCCTCAAATCATGGACAAACTACTTGATTGGAGCAATACCCTTTACCCCATTCCAAAAATGGTGTGGGGCTCGAAGAAAACTCGATGAAGTTTACTTTATGGTGGTGAACGTAACCCGATATAATTTGTTCTGAACCCACCGGATAGATTGTGGATACGAAAGATGAATTAGATATCTGTCTTTCACTTTATTTTTTCTTCTTCTATTATGGTGGTGAAAGATGGATTTTTTTATTTTTTTAAAATAAATACAGAATTTAAATCAAAGTTATTCGATCTGATCGAACCTGTAATCATCTACCAAAGATACAAATATTATCACATAATAAGAATCCCAATAATAATCTAGCAAAGGTGCTTTTTAAGTTAGATTAATCCAACACAAAATATTCTCCAAAAGCACTTTTTCGAAGAAACACTTAAGATAAAAAGTAAATAAATAAAATTTGAAAATTTAGCCAAACAAGAACAGTAATTAGTATCATCTAGTAAGACTGTTAATAGATAGTCCGATAACAAAATATTTTAACCCACTAGAAGAGACATGTAAGATTTGAAACACTCACAAACTTAGAACTCCTGCTAGATTTATAATAATAAACCGTTAATAAAAATGCCCCAATCCCCTCCAATAAATAAGGAACGACGTGAGATATGTAGTCTTAAATAAGTTATAATATTTGTTAGCCGTACAACTTTTGAAGCTTGTTATCTTAAATCTGTCGATAAAATTTGTGTAGTTATAAATATTTAATATTAAAAAAATATTGACTAATAAGGAAATATGGTCATTTATTTTTTGAAATGAAAGAGTATATAATTTATCACATACCAAGTGAAAAGAAGACAAGCGAGTGATAATTGTCTGCTTGGGGGTGCTTTCTGAATCTCATCGCTAGTACAGTAGAGGCTGCACCCTCCGACGAGGTTGGCAAGAATATGAGCTGCTCCTAAAAGACCTGCTGCAGCTAAACCTAATATAAATGCATCATGGCTTGGCTCTTTACACTCGAACAACCATAGTTTCATGTGTTTTTCCTTCAAAACCACAAAAAATAAAAAGAAAGATTTAAATTTAAAAACTACTTACAGTAAGGTCAAGTAAATTTCTGTGTAATAAAAATTTGTAATTATTAACCTGATAAAAATGTAGTTTATTAACCTACAATAACATATTAAACTTAGCTATTACACTGTCAACGCATATAACTTAAATCGAAAAAGAAAAAAAACATTTAAGTTTTGTGCATTAGACGGTGTAAAAACTACTTACGGTAATCAAGGTCAAGTAAATTTCTGTACGATAAACATTAGTAATTGTTAACCTGATAAAAATGATAATTCACTAAGCTACAATCACATATTAAACTAGTTGTTACAATGTCAGCAAAGAATTAAATGTCATCAGACATAACAGATTTCTGGGAGGATTTGAAGGAAGCTATATAATAAAATAATAATAATAATTATTATTATTATTATTTTTTTTTGCAATGTTTGGTACAATAATGAGATTGGCATTGGAAGAGATATACCTGGTTTTGAGCTCCTTCGGCTTTAATTCCAAGAAGTCCAGCTACAGCATCTAAAGCCACAATTACTAAACATGCAAAAATTCCAAATACCTTTGCCATTTTTTCTTGAACTTCAAAGACCTTTAAAGAATAACAAGGAAAAGAGTGACTGAGAGTTGAACCTCCCTATTTCTATCGTGTGAAAATGAGTAAAAGCAAAGATATATTGCAAAAGAAGGGATAGTTAAATAATGGACTACACTACCAAGTAGTGAGCTTAATAATAGTTTGAAATTGGATTTTTACTGATAGTGGATATTTGTAGCTTTATAGGAGACAGTTGGATGATGGCTGATTCTACGGAAAGATTCTTGTGGCAATACAATTCTATTTTTATTTTTGCCTCTTTTCTTCTGTTTTGTTTTTCTTATCTAGGATTCTCTTTTAGTGGGGAACCAAGAAAAGTTGGGTATAAAAAAAGTCATCCAGCACAGTCAAAAGGTAAATCGGCGAGTGACTAAAAAATGTCCTTTTGCTCAGTACATCAACAATAATATACCGTGTGATCCCACATGTGGATTTAGGAAAGTAAAAATATACCCAAATCTTATTCTAAGATAGAGAAGTTGTTATCGATAGATTTTCGACTATTAAAAAAAATAAATTTTTTAAACATGTTTGAAAAATACAAAAATTAAAATCTATGATGAAAATACTAAATAAAAGAAAATTATTGTCAGCAAAAATAGTAAAGAGTAACAATGTATATAAAAGATACAACAATAGTAATAAAATTGAAGATTAAATAATAATAATAATAATAATAATAATAATAATAATAATAGAAGAGAGAGTAAATAAGGTGTTCTAAACTAGAATCATAATGCTCTCCAACAGAAAAGAGTAAAATCGCTCGACTACCTACTAACATTCTAGCTTAATCTTCGATATCCGAGCTCTCCTATTTTCGTTTAGCTCAATCCGAAGTTTAATAGTATACAATTTTTCAAACCAAATATTATTTGCAACTATTAAACTAGTGTTTCGATCAGTATATATTTACTATTTTGTCAATTATTTCAATTTTAATATGAAATAGGAATATAAAATTGAAAAAACTTGTTTAACATATCTTTAAGTGCTGGTTCAATTTCAGAAGATTGCATGTTGTCTATCTTTTTGCTTCTGGCGTTAAAATATTTCAGTTTTGTCGAAATACTTCCATCATAATGTTAAAAGAAAACGAAAAATAAAGGAAGAAAGGCAATTTCTCGAGGAACACACTGGATTATAATGAGATCTTTCGAACATTAATTAGAAATTTTAAATTCGAACACTGTGAATAATAAAACTGCTAAGAGAGAATATTTTCCGTTTTCCATTAAATGGAACCTATGCAGCTCTAGATTTGGATTAGAATCCCGGATACCAGATGGTCGATGGTTTATTTATTTATAAAAACTAATCTATATTGTTTGAATTTTTCAAAAATATCCTCTACTCAAAAGCCAGTTAACGACATGACTAGACAGTAAAACATGCAAGCAGCCACTTTTTCATTCTATTTGGCATTTAAATTTAATAGTGTGAAAACTGTCTTCTCAGACAGACTTTTCTGCCTCAAACGAATCAGCCTGATGATGATATTCGGTGGCAGTAAATTGCTGCTTTTATGTTTCTCCTCATTTAGGCCCTCTTTGCCTCCATTTTCTCCACCAAAATAGAGTAAATTCTAAAATTGAGTAAAATTACTTCAATTATTATTTTATTTTTTACTCCAAAATATAATATTTTATTTTATATTCTTCCCTTTCTTCAATATTATATTCTTATTTTTTATTTAAAATTTTATTTTCTTATTTCTATTAAAGAATTTCTATCTTTTTTTTTTTTTTTACATATTCATCACATATAATTTATATTCCTTTCTTATATAATCATTTAATATAAAATTATTGTATACCATATATTTTGAAATAATATAATTTGTAAGCAAATATTATAGATTATATATATTAATGAATAATTCAAATAAAAGTAAAATTATTGAGATACAAGATAATTAAATACATATTACATTATGGTAAAATTCAGATTAAATACTACATAAATATTCAACTTCCTCTAGTATGCTCCCATAAATGATCTGTTAATCGTTACGAAGTGCAAAATGAGCATCTTTGTCCTCAATTCTTTTGTGTCGAGCTAAAAATTATTCAAATCGGTGATTTTCATCTACTATCATTTGTACCCTTGGAGGTGGACATTCTCAATCATCTTGAATTGGTGCATTAAGATCACGCTCATTCTCGATTATCATATTGTGCAGTATAATACATGTAATTATTATTACTTCGAGAAAAAGGTCCCAAATCAATCTTCATTACTTCTAGAATGTGGGAGATAAGCAGACCATAGGGTAAACAAGCATCAGAGGATGGTATATCTCTAATACTTTCAAGCATATACTGACGAATCTACACAAACCAGTTAAGTGTTTTGTTGTTCACATGACAATAAGAACAAAAATATCCCTAGTGGTTAAAGTGCTAAAAGATCCAGTCCTAGGAAGAAGACTAATTGCAATCATGTGAGCTAATACATAATGTTCAAATTTAAGACTTTTGGGACTAATATCAAGGGGGTTTTCAGACATGGTAGCTTTTGCCTCTTCTAAGGTCACTTCAAAATCTTTTGGCCATAAATTCTGAACTAACACATCATAACCATAAAACTTAGCAGAAAAAAATTTCTCAAATTGATATGCATCAAGCACAATACAAGCACCTAGGATCATTGACTCCAAGTCATCTTTGTCATTCACAAACAGATTTGCATAGAACATTCGCACATGTTCTTCATACACAGTATTTCCAATAGTATCAAATGGAGGAGAAAGGCGCTGAAAGTCAAAAGTTTAAACAACATCACAATGAACATACTTCATAAGAGAGAGACTTATAATGCTCCCATAAGTCATAGATTTTGACTTTAGGATTTAAACCTCATTTTCTCAGTTGGACGGTAGAAGTTTAATTTGTCCCCAGGCCCAAAATTAGTGCTTTCCACTTTTCCCTTTTTGCATGCAGGCCTTTTGGGGGGTTTGATCCATGGGTATCTTGCCGACTCTTTTCTGGCTTAGTGCTTGATCATTTGATGAGTTACTACTCTCATTATCAGTTTTGAGAGGATCTAAATCAAGAGATGACTCAAGGTTGATAGTTTCTTCAAGATTTTAAGTCTTTTGGAACTGTCAGCTTCATCTTGTGATAGTGGAGGAGGAGAGGTTTTTCTTAGCCATAGTAGAGAAGTTTGGTGAGAAGTGGGGGAGAATGAGATAGAATAGGGTACTTATTTAGCCGCTTGGGAGATTGAAGGGTTGCATTGGTTAGAAGAAATGTTAGTAACAGATCAGAGTGATATTTCTGAGGAGTTGCTTCGGCGGCACCAATGGAAAGTAATAATTACACTCACATCAAATTAATGAAGGCAATCACTTTGGCAAACATATAAAAGAAAGTAAAATATTTTGTAAATATTAAAAGATCTTTTCATGCAATAAAACAAAATTCCAATCTTACTACGCAGTAGGCAAAACGTTCTTCCAAAAGAGATTTTATAAAAATATCAGCAAGTTGAGACTCAGTATTAATAAATTCTAATACTATATCACCTTTAGCAATATGATCACGAATAAAATAATGCTTAATTTCTATATACTTTGCCCTGGAATGATGCACATAATTTTTTGATAAACAGATAGCACTAATGTTATCACACAAAATAGAAGTAGAAGTAAGATTGAGATCATAGTCGATAAGTTGATTTATAATCCAAAGAATTTGAGTGCAACAACTTCCAAAAGCTAAATACTCTGCTTTAATAGTCGACAATGCAACACAATTTTGTTTCTTGATATGCCAGGAAATTAGTGTATTTCCAAGTTTTTGGCAAGTGTCACTTGTGCTTTTCCTGTCACTTCTATCACATGCAAAGTTTGCATCTTAAAAGCCTTTTAGATCAAAATTGTTAGAATAAGGATATCATACACCCAATTTAGTAGTCCCAATAAGATATCTAATGATATATTTCACCGCAGTCAGATGTGATTCTTTTGGAGCCGACTGAAATCTTACACACTTACAAACACTGAACATTATCTCTGGTCGACCAACCGTAAGATATAAAAGGGATCCAATCATTTCCCTGTACATGGTTTCATCAATACTTTTCCCGTCTTTGTCTTCTTCAAAAATTGTTGATGAACTCATAGGAGTTCCACTAGGTTTTGTATTTTCCATACCAAACCTTTTAATAAGCTCTTTTGTGTACTTGATTTGGCTAATGAAGATTCCTTTGGAGGATTGCTTAATTTGTAACCCAAGAAAGAAAGTCAGCTCTCCCATCATGCTCATTTCGAATTCTCCTTTCATAGTATGAGCAAATTCCTCACATAACACAGAGTTAGAACTTCCAAAAATAATATCATCTACATAAATTTGAGTAATGAGATTACCTGATTTTGAAAGCTTAATAAACAAAGTTGTATCAATATTACCTCGGTTGAAGCCATGATTTAACATAAAAGAGTTTAGTCTCCCATACCATGCTCGGGGGGCTTGTTTGAGACCGTATAAGGCCTTTGCTAACTTGAAGACATTATTTGGGAGAATTTTGTCTACAAACCCATGAGGTTGTTTCACATATACTTCTTCAAAAATATATCCATTTAAGAAAGTATTTTTACATCCATCTGAAATAGTTTGAACCCTTTATGAGCAGCAAAGGAAAGCAATATTCAAATAGATTCCAGCCTTGCCAAATGGGCGAAGGTTTCTTCATAGTCAATTCCCACTTGCTGTGAGTAACCTTTAGCAACTAGTCTTGCTTTGTTGCGAACTACTTGACCATACTCATTCAACTTATTTTTGAATACCCATTTTGTTCCTACAATTGATGTATCAGAAGGTTTTGGAACTAAGTTCCATACCTTATTTCTTTCAAATTGTTCAAGTTCTTATTTCATGGCTATGACCCAGTTGTCATCCTTGAGAGCTTTGTCAACTTTCTTTGGCTCAATTTGAGATATTAGAGCCATGTGAGAGTTCAACTTCTGAGATGTTCTGGTGCTAATGCCTTACTGTGGATTTCCTATGATGAATTTATGAGGATATCGAGGTTCACTTTTCTATTCATTTGGGACAACTGAGGCTGACTCCTTTTCGATGGGAATTGATTGTTCAGTTATAGGTGATTCTTAGTTTTCCATGTGACT